GTTCCTACGGGAAAGTAACGGTAATCTAATTACCGTTTTTGCAATAGTAATCCCTTACTTTACTCGTTACTTGAAAAAAGTAATCGGATTACAGTAACACGTTACAAGTAATAATAATAATAGATTGAATTTATATAGCGCTTTTCGAGACCCTCAAAGTCCTTTTCAATTCCACTGTTCATTCACTCTCACATTCACACACTGGTGGAGGCAGCTACAGTTGTAGCCACAGCTGCCCTGGGGCAGACTGACAGAAGCGAAGCAGATTTCTTGATCTTAGCAACTTCATCTATCTGTTGATTGTAATCCCATGCAGGGACTTGGTTGTCCATGAATTCCTCTTCCTGTTCAGCATCACTATTTGTCTTCAGCTGTCTGAGGCGATCTCTGAGGGCCGTCTTTCTGATGCATTTACAGATGCTCTGTTTTTCATCATGAAATGTGGAACTTCATGTATTCTTGAATCATTACCACTGGCCTGTGGATACCCAGGTACTTAAGATTTCAGTGATACTGCCAGTGGGGATGGTGCGCAGAGCAGTGTTCACATCTACAAGCATTTCCACTAATGAAACTGTCAGGTAGCTGGGGGTTCTTGGTCTGTGGCTACTTTGAGTCTCACTACAGCCACAAACTCTCCAGAGAGTCATAAAGCCTGCAGAGAGGATTATAAGAGCGGATCTTCCATCAGTGGACACAGAGCGCTGTAAGAAAAGAGAACAACACATCATCAGAGATTGTCAGGTCTCTGATGATGTGTTGCTTCAGGTCACACCCTCTCTGCACCAAAACAATCAGGATACAGCCAGAGATGCAGCAGAGTGGACAGTCTGTCGCACACACAACACGCTAACACAACAGCGTCTTTCCCACCACAGTCAGACTGATGGCAAAAAACAAAATCAGTAAAATACACAAAATCAAATGTTTCCAGTATGATATATATTTCTATATGCAATCCACATTTCAGTGTGCAATAGACTAACATGCAATATTTTTCTATACAATAGTCATTTATGTGTAATGAAGGAACTGCTGTTCTATGCTTGGTATAAACTGAAATGATATAGATCGGACACAGACTGAAAAGATTTTGAGCTTCTGAGGGAAAACAGCAAAAATCAGTGTGCTTAACAGGAAGTTGAGATAGACTATCAGTACTTGCTAAGGGGAGGAAGAAACAATGCTATTAACCTCTTAAGCCCCAACGCCCCCTGATACGATATACATATTTATATATGTATATATATATATATAGTTGTGTGTGTGTGTGTGTGTGTGTGTGTGTTTGTCCATTATTCTCACTATTGTTTTCACTGTGCTGTTGCCTTTGAATCTCCAGCTTTGATAGTAGCTGTCTTCTGTTGATGATATTGCACTGATGTTGACTCAGTGTCCACATCAGTGCATATAGCTCCTTTCATTGGGCCGGAAAAGGATGGAGTGCCCACTCCGGGTCAGGGATGGGTTCCTGCCCCAAGTGGGTGAGTTCAAGTATCTTGGGGTCTTGTTCACAAGTGAAGGGAGAAAGGAACGGGAGATCAACTACAGGAGAGTGATGCGGATGCTGCGCCAGTCTTTTGTGATGAAGAGAGAGCTGAGTGTAAAAGCGAAGCTCTCAATTTACTGGTCGATCTATGTCCCTAACCTCACCCATGATTAGGGATGGGTATCGTTTAGGTTTTATCCGATACCAAACCGGTACTTTTGAAACGGTGCCGGTGCTTAAACGGTGCTCAAACCGGTGCTTAAAGAATGGAAAACACAAAATTGGTCCAAAAACCTCTCATGTTCAGCTGTTTTTTTGTAAAAAGATAACAATGTTAGCCTTTTCTGCAGCTATGGGGCATATATGGT